ATACGAGCCCGAGTATATTTGGGAAATCCCTCAAGGTTTCGAGGATAATCGTAACACTAGGTTCATTCCTTATCTTTTTGGACTAAAATCTGAAAAGTGTCAAAATGCCAGAGCGTAAGCAAAATGCGCTCACTAAAAGAGAGTAACAGGAAAAGTAAAGGAACGCAAAAAACCAAATTTTTAGTCCAAAGAATGGCAACAACAAAACTAACGTCAAATAAGAACAGAAATGTATGTACAAAACACATTCACACATGCACAAGCAAAATAAATACTTGCTATATCAATTATTTTTTGCCTCCTTCCAATTTCAATTCATTTCTTTTACTTTTTAGATTATTCTCACTTTTTGCGTATTCTTTAATTTCCGTTAATTTAAATTCAGTTGAGTTTGACACTTTTCAGGATTTTGCCAGAAAAAATTCTTCTGACTAAATCTGACTACTTCGGACTGATGAGAGCCGCTCTCACTAACTGTGGCTCTCTCATTTTTGCTGTCATTTCCGAGTTAAGGAACGCTTTTTGGACTAAATCTGACTACTTCGGACTTTTCCTGACTATTTCTGGGAGATAAGGAACGCGCATACTATCATTCTTGGCATTTGACAGCATACTTTTTCATTTGTAAAATGTTGCCAAACAAGAAGGTTCAAGCCTTGCAGGCTCTTAAAAGTTTGAGAAAATTAGAAAATCTGCATAAAGAGATGTATACTATTTTCAAATGAAAAATGGCTGCCTCTAAATTTGTAATTGCCTCCAAAATAAACGATGTTGCTACTCTGAAGAATTCTGCGAAATGAGAACATACATAGCTGTCAAACAACAAAAAATGACAGTTGAAAGCAAGCGAGCTCGCATACCGCTCGGTATGCGAGAAAAAACATGCTTCGTACTTTTTGCGGTCTACAAGTGCGATTTCTCGCATGCGTCGCCACGCAAGCGAGGTTTTCCAGCACGTGAAGACGGCCGGTTACATTTTGAGTTTAGTCCTTTTGAAATTAACAGTGCAGTGGGCGTTAAAAGTTGGCAAGGAATCTCGAACAATCCTAGATTGCCAACCTTTGGGGTATAAAAAAATTTTGCCTGAGTGTGCTTTCAAGCATCCCCTTCCTACTGCTTAATTAATTTTTTAATTGTTATTAGTGCAAATAAAAAATTTGTGCAAAGAAACAGCTCCATCGAGTCTAATTTTAAGTTTTATAGAAGCAAAACGGTTGGTATTCCAGACATACCAATGACATTTACATCCATCATTGTAAAGCCGGGTTAAACTACATAGATGAACTTACTTGTAAAAGTTTAGAGCTGGCCTTTGGGTATATTTTTTCCACTTTCTACAACTGATTTATGGGAGCGAACTCTTAAAAAGAGAACGCTACCCGGTTCTTGGCAGAACTTTTCTCACTTTCTAAAAACTGTAATGATGGGCGCCAAATGTGCTATTGCGCGAACTGGCCACCAAATTACGATAATTTGCATGAACGAAAGACACAAGATCACGTAAGAACAAAAGAGTGAAAAAAGTCAATTTTTTTTAGCGGGTTCTACGCCACCTTGTTTCACTGGAAAACGAGCGAAAAGTAAACAAAGCAAAGAAAACAACGAAAACCAAAATTAGCCAAAATTATTGTCAGCCACTTTAAACGCACAATTTAGGTAAAATGATGCAACAAAATGCTTTAAAATGTGTTGTCATGTTGAATTAACTCTTCTTTACTTGAATAAGGGCCGGTTACTCAATGTCTGGTTAACACTAATCTGCGGTTAAACATCGTTATCGACGTCTTCGACCAGGCATTGAGTAACCGGCCCTAAAATAGTGGTGCTCGTGATGTAAACAAACGCTCAGCTGACGAACCCGCTTTCGCAAACTTTTTTCTCAAAACCAGTTACAAATACAACTTCTTGTTCTTACGTGATCTTGTATTTTTGGTTCATGGATAATTTGTTACATTTGTTTGTGAAGTAAATGCTTCAAGAGATTTAAAATTTTCTACTCATCTATCGCCGTGGCATGACTTCACAGAAACATATGATTTTGACAGTTTTTTTTATTCGTTGGATTCTCAATCGTTTTACATGATTCAACAACTACAGGTTGTAGCAATCGTACAAAAACAACATTTACCGTTGGTATGAACTCCTTGTGTCATCAACATCTTTATCTATTCATATTCGTATGTATATGTATACCCTGCATACCAGGATTTCATAGAATTCTGAAAGGCTTCACAATTTTTTTATAATTTCCTTTAAGAAATCGTACAGAAATTTCTTTACTAGTTCTTGTCAACCGTTTCATATTCTGATTAGCACTAATCGGATGTAGAAGCTCCGGTTAAGTACAACGACTGCTTTATCGATCACATGTTACATGCATGATGTTGAAATCGTCGATAGAGTAGTGGTAGTGATAACCAGGCATTGAACAATCGGCCCTTAAAGATTTCGGGAGCATTTGTGTGTAGGGTATATATAGACGTATATGTGTATGTATACGCGGAGATGTAAATAAAGCAAAACAGACGATAATTTGACACAAGCGTGCTCATAAGAAGCATAGCTTCTATCCAAGAATGATAGAATACAAGATTGCGCCGATTGCAGCAGAATTCGTGAGAGTAATTTTAGCGTGACGTCATCGTAGAATTGACAACTGAGAGCGGCGAGAATGAGGGCGACTAGTGATGTGATGAATTGTCCCCAATACTCGGTTCCCAATACTTAAAAAAGATTTCGGTACCCTGTACTTCCTTTTCGGTATCCGATACCGATTATTTACATTAAACCCTCGCCATTATATGTGTAGCGTATTTAATTGTAGAATTGTATTTAAAAGAATTTTATTTTTATATAATCTTAATTTTAATTTAACGTGTTTTAAGTTTCAAAGAAGAAAAAATTCTGAAGTAATCAAAAATTTTCTTATTGATTTACATAAATTGAAAAAGAACTTAATTCAATAATTTCAAAAATAACAAAGTACAAAAATGAACAAAGTACAATAGTAAATAGTATTAACACTACAATATGCATTTCAGGTTTAGAAAAAACTTTCATTACTAATTTGTATGATATCGGTTAAAACACTTGAACTTATAGCCACAGAAAAATATTATTTCATCAGTTTTAACCTTAGTCGATCCAAGGTTCAAGAAAAATACTTTGACGGATGAAGAAGCCTTTCAGGGGAGAGATTCTGTAGCCAGTTAGCGACAAGTTTCGGATCAATATCGCACTTGTTGACTTACATATATTTGATATCAAACGTCGACAAAACCGATACCGATTCGAAAATTGTCGTTAACTGGTTACAGAATCTGTCCCACGCCTACAAAAATGATATCGGCCGATTCAGCTGGAACAAAAATGCTTCAAACAAGTAAGGGTTTCTCTGTATTATGGCATCGAACCGACATATATACATCTTTCATTTGAATCAGTAAAAAAGCTCTATTGGCTCTTACATTCGGGATTTGTTAGGCGTTTTTTCCATATTTTTGGCCTATGTGCGCTTTTATTCGAAACCTAAATGTTTCGGTACCGAGTATCGAGAGTATTGGGTACTTAAAAGTATTGACTCAGCACATCACTACTGCGGTCTACTATGACGTCACCACAACAGCTGATTCTGTCAAAATCACTGAGAGCCGAGTAGCGGTATCATCATCGGCGCCACCTCTGTATTCTCTCCACCGTGGCTTCTATCGCTATCACCTGTAATTGATGCGCCTTGATCGTTTTATCAGATTTGTTGGTGGTTAAAAAAAGTTTATTCCATGGTTTGCACAAAACTATCCACTGGATTGCAATTTTTAAGCCGCAATGGCTGTAACCGTGCTCTGGGATCGTCCGTCGTCCAAGCATGCCGTAACTACAGTAGCGATTTAGAAAAACCCACCCACACTGGTCAAGTATGTACCACAACTGCATCAGCCTATTACGCAAACGTTCCTATTTTGATTTTGCTACCGCAATGTAATGTGGATTCGTATATTTCAATTAGGTTTTCTATAAGGATGACTATCGCAACGTTCGCTTTGTAAACGCAAAACGATATGTAAATGAAAATTGGGGTATCAAATTGATTGATGAAGTGCCACCAATCGAAGTTATCGAAAGTGTCGCCTATTGCGATGGCGGTGATGCTAATTTGGGGCATCCGAATATCTATATCAATTTGGTAAATAAACGCAAATTATTGTAAAATTGATCATCCACATTTAAAATGTAATTATTTTATTATGCTATTTGTTTCAAGGATAAACCTGGTCCTCAAATCTGCGGCTACTGTGGGCTGAGGTTCGTAAAGAGAGATGGACACCACCACTAAATTTGTTTGCATCCATAAATGTATCTAAGATAAAGAATTAATTAAACTATATGTATAAAAATAAATTGTTTCAGTAGCTGACAATGCTACCTAATATGAATCCAAGGCGATAATTTTAAAAATTCGGTTTTTTTTTCTCCGAATTAATTTCAGTCAACCGCTCGGAGGCAAAGAACTATGGATGTTCATTCCTATTTGGGAGATTTAGCTAAGAATTTTAAAACTGCTTAAAACTTTTCTGTAAATTGTTTTTTTTTTTGGTGATATACATTTACTAAAAGAAAACATTTAATATTCTAACTGCTGCAATGAAAATAAAAGGTATACATGAAACAAACGACGAAGAAAAGAAATCGGCAATCTTTCAATTTAGATCTTATGACGACGACAGATAACGAATGTTTCTATGTCGTTACTATCTAGCGGTATGTGTACATCAGATCAATATCGAAAATGCTAACGGTGATACCAATTTTTTGTTTTTATTTAATTTTCAAACCACAACGCCAACGGTAATAGGCACTATTTAATATATTAATGTCCTACCAAGCGTTCGGTCTGCTTCAGCATGTTTCATGGTATTTCGTTGTCGATAATCTTCTCCATTGCATTCAGCATACAGCTGTCTTGTCGGCATGAATGATTTAGCTAAGAATTGGTCTATCCTTACGACTTTGGGAATAGTCGCGCTCTTCCGTAAGATAGATGTTTACTAGGTGTATCCATGCTTCAACCATTAGCCATTTACCAACGCTCATCCAACTGACCGCTGACTAGGTTTTTGAGATCTGAGGAGACATTTTATTTATTTTGAGGACAAGGGGGTGGACCTGGATCTCACGGAGTGTAAGTACGTACACCAAATCACTTACTATTAGCGTACGCTAGAAAATAAATCATTAAGGACCGCTTTCTCATGTAGGTTTTAAAATTTATCTGCCAGGTAAATCCACCTGTTACAAAGAAGGAATTCATACGCACTTGTCTAAGTTTATATCAAAGCAGTCTATGAGAAACACCCTTTGTGACGAGTTTATGATTTTTTACAAATATTTTTTTTTTACAAAAATAGTAATATTTCCGTCAAAGTTTTCGAAAAATATCTTAGGCCTTAGGCTATCTGCACACTTGTCGTCCAATCATAGTTGCGTTATCGTCTCGCCCTGAAATTTTGAGCCGAGCACATGCATTTCAAAGGAGATCTGCACACTTGTCGTTATCGGCTAGTTATCGGCAAATCGTAGAAGATGCAGAAACGGATAAGTACGGCACTGTCGTTTGCTAATCGTTGTGCACGCATTGTTTGTTTACATTTTATGGGGGAAAATTTGTGAAAAAGTTAATATTTGCATTAAAATTGTATAAAAATTAGTATTTTTTTGCATAAAATCTGTGGAAATTATTAAAAAGTGGATAATTGCATTAAAATTTAATAAATATGAGCGTTTTAACTATAAAATATGACGAAATTGTATTAAGTCTCTGTGTGCATACACAAAACACATTCCAGGAAAAGAAAAGAAGAGATATTACTGGAAAATTACGTCTAGAAATGTTGCAGCACAGTCTATATTTAAAAAATTGCAGGTTTTTGTAAATATTTCGCGAAAATATCAACCAAAAAAAACAGAAAATACCTGCTCCAAGTGAATTTTTAGACGCCAAATGAATTGAAATATCACGACCAAGTGTGCAGAAGTGTAATCGTCATGTAATCGTTGCTTCATGACGATAACTATGACTCAACTATGATTGGACGACCAATGAGCAGAAAGCCTAAATTTGAGCGAATCAATAAAATTCAACCGTTACGTTTTCGCAGTGATTTAACCGAAGTGACACATACAGGACAGGTAATAAATAGTCAGATATGTTATCAGGCAGATTCACTTTCGATTTGAGTTCAAAGTGACTTTGGTTAAAATTCGTCGGAAGTGAATTGCAGAGCCTGAACGAATTGAAACATAAGTACATATCATCCATGGTACAATAAAAACAGGTAGAAGCAAGGCACATTTAACAGGTAGTATCAGTAGAGCAAAAACAACATTTGCGTGTATTTTGTTGTTGCTTCTGGTATCGAAAGTGTCAAAAACTGTTCTGAATTGTTTCTTCTAAATCAAAGTGTGCCATGTGAAATACAAAAAATTATAAAAAATAAAAAATTGAAATTGGAAAAAATAAAAATTTATGCAACTTTCTTTCCTAGTAAATTTGTTTGCTTCTCGAAGCATTGATCCATCCTTTGCAAGGCCCAGTAATCAGCGGTCGTGCTGCCGAGTTGGGCGAACGTTCCAAAAGCTGCTATTCAATCGCTTGTTTTGTATGGAAAAAGGTTTCACATGCAAATGGATTTTAACAATTCAGAATTTTTGTGAGAAAAAATTAAAAATATTTGACATTTTCGAGACCAAATAATTTGAAAATAAATCAAATCAGCTGCTCTACTGATACTACACGGATATTCCCAGCCCTACTTAACACGATTAGACATGTCTGAGCACAACACAACGAAATCAAACGCACAAGTTTAAGTGCACACGTTAATATATGAGTGCGTATTTATATTTATATTGCACACATATATGCACATATGTATGTATTTGTATATGAAATTATATTTGTAACTCTAATTATATAAAACAATAAAAGTTTAGCCGAATAATTCAAATTAAATTCATATGACATTTAATTAAAAAAAAAAGAAAAATCCTTAACTAAGCTAATTTATTGGTAACATCAATTTAGAAGTCTAAAACTTTATAGCTCTCAGCACAAAAGCAATTTTAATCAATTGAATGTGCACGGGCAGAAAATTCATAAAACGTATTGGTTAAAGAATTTTGTCCATAGCTTTCAAATTATACATACATAGGTACGTATTAATATTTAAATATAGGATCAAATAATATCAAAGTCTTAAGGGTTGCCAAGATGTAATTTGATTATAAAACAAAAACAAAAAATAGTTTATAACTAAATGTTAAAGGCGTCAATGCGCTAATGAAAAAAATTAATTTTTACTTAGATTTAAGATATAAGTATGTATAATAAAATTGTATTTATGTATGTATGCATGTATATATGTAGTTTTCAAAAATTTTCTTTGTTCTTGTACTTTAGATGGATTTCATTGAAACTCAGTACTGCTGTATCCCATATTGGTTGCATCACAAATGCCAGTCGCATTTGATTCGACATCCCCTGGGATATCATGGCATCATTCAAATCCTTTAATTGAAAGCAGCCACACATAGATTAATCCATATCACGAATTAACTCGTGCTAACTAAAGAATCAAAGAAAAAATACTTTTGCGTAATATTCATCTCCTTCAACCGTCGTCTTATCGTCCCACCGTCATTGCACATATGTATGTATGTATGGCCCGGCGACGATATAGTTGTGTCTACATATGTTAAACGTAAACCGTTTCAACAAATAAACAATTCTCTATTACCATGCTCTTTCGCTTATGCCGTCGTTCACACAATAATAGGTTTGTTTTGGTTTAACGCAGAGGGGTGCGTTCCCGAAATAAATCACACAGTTCTGCTTGCGCTCCATGAAAATGCCCGTAATCAAATTAAAACATCAAGATATACGAAATAAATTCCATGAAAATAGTACAGAACCAGTATAGAATTGTACACTTGAAATTATGGACGTGTATGATTATATCCAAATGTGCACATCCTCTGTAAATCATTTACAAATTAGATTGAGATCAAATGATGGTTAATTGTAGATCATCAATTCATCTGTGTACGTTTACCATACTGTTTCTGTATCTTTTTCGATTGTTGTTGTGGATGCTGCGGTCATCTGTGTTGTCTGTTCTCATTTTTTTGCTGCTGCCGCTGCTGCTCTTGCAATGCTATCTGCCATCTGTAGTCTCAAATGAATTTCATCTAAAACACCAAACACTTAACGATCTAGTTACTAGTACATAGTATATCTGAATTTGAATATAGACGTGTAAGTTGCCAACAAGGATTCGGCCAATAAGCACCACTGGTCACCAGAGGTTCCGTGGTACGGCGTAGCCTTCTTTTGTTACGAAAATATTGCGATTCGAATATTCTTCTCTTTTGGCGATGTTGCCCTCCTTTTGCTTATTGGTACCGGCCCCAGCTGCGTTGTCGTACGTGGTAATTGTCTCAGTTTTGCCATCAATGGTACGTGTAATAGTTTTTGTTGTATTGCCTTGAGAATCCTTGATGATTTTCTTAGTCTCATAGCTACCATCCGGTTTACGTATGGTCTTCGACATGACGCTCTGGCTGAACATTTTCGGCCCCTACAGCAAAATGAATAGAATTTTTGATATGCATAATTACATACAAACATATGCACATACGGTGATTTTATAAAACACATCCATGAACACACACTAGCATCCTCATTCAACCATCTTCATAATACAAGCAATGAAATGAAAAATTATTAAAAATAAGAATGAATGAACCTTGGTCGTGCTTTGTTAGTGAAGTTTCGATTCGTTCATTTCTTAATCGTTTCATAATCCTGATAGTATGTGACAAAAAAACTGTATAGGCTTGATCGAATGAATGACCATCCTAATCACTTGTTCCGAGTCTATTCGATTGCTGAGTTTGAGGCCTTCTGTTGGACAAAATGGGGAGTATAAAGGTCTCTCAATAGAGGAAATTAGCCTATGGTTACAGAGTATGGAATAAATTAACTGACGATGACTTGTGTGCCGCTTGCGCTTTTCTCTCCACATGAATACCGCTGGTAAACCCAATTAAAGGTTAAAATTTAAATACTAATTAATAACGTTAAAGTAAGATATGTACAAAATTAACAATGAAACACTTATTTCTACCCTGGTTAACAGTCATTCGTCTTAGACGTTCCTAGCAGCGATGAACGTTGGCGAGTTTGATTGTAACTCATAAATTTCGTTCGTGTTGTTGTTGTTGTAGCGGCTACAACAACCCCGCCCAGGACGGTTGGTATCTCAGTCGTTGTCGTCAAGTTCCACTAACGGCAACCCTAGGAAGCGTGCAGCTTCTGTGGGGTTGGTCCACAGGGACAAGCCCGTTAGGGTTGTCGGGTTTTCCGGGCATGCGAAGAGATGTTTCGAGTCATGTGGGGTCTCTCCGCATACCGGACACTCATTCGGCACATCCTCGTTTCGTTTCAGTACTCGCTTCCAAAAACAATTAAATTAACGAGGAATTCCTTTCAACGATTATTGCGCATTTTTAGCTAAGAAATTCGAGTTTTTTTAATGCATCCGTTCAACAATTCGAATTCGGCGATCGAATTTTCGTAGTTTTGCACGAAACGCGGACTACGATGATTCAGTGATAGTTCCAATTCTTAGTAATAAAAATCAGAGAACAAAAATAACTAATACCTCGAATTTAAAAATTGAAAATGTTGCCTGAATTCTGAAATATAACGAAAACCAACGTTCATAGCAGTTATTAGATGAAAAATATTTTTTATTTCGCCGATAAGAGTTATGACCCAAGGTTTATTTTTACGTTGTTTAATAACAGTTATTGCCCAACGTTTATTTTTCACGTTGTTTGATAACCGTTATTGCCCAACGTTTATCTTTTAAGTTGCTTGATAAAAGTTATCATCCCACGTTTATTTTTTACATTGTCTCATATACGTTGTAAGATAGGAATATTGACGAAAACGGAGAAGAGGGAGATAAAGATGATGAAAATAAAAAGGAGTGAAATAACTGTTATCAGACAACTTAAAAATAAACGTTGGGTAATAACTGTTATCAAGCAACGTAAAAAATAAACGTTGGAAAATAACTATTATCTAGCAATGTAAAAAATAAACGTTGGGAAATAATTTTTATTGGCGACGGAAAACATATTTCTCCTGCATAACAGTTATCGAGCAACGTAAAAAACATTGGGTTATAACTCTTATCGGCGAAATAAAGAATATTTCTGGTCTTATAGCTGTTACGGAACAACGTTTTTCGATACAACTTAACTGTTTTGTCCCTGATATAAATAATATAAAACCATCAAATTCTGTGCGATGATTTTGATTGCCACCTTGCATATTTCTTTTGCAGAGAACATACTCGGGGTATACCAAGTATGTATGTCCATTATTCATTCACATCCAACGAGGATAAAAAATAATATATCTTTATTTTAATTTTAGAGACCGGTGATGATGTCATCGAGACGAAGCACTCATTAGATAAAAAATCAAAACTAATGTGCATACCTGATACGTGCCCTCGAAGACCCCTCCGCCAAATGGCGTAGGATTACGTGGTATCATGGGAGTCATTGGTGTCATCATGTCCGGACGTGGACGTGGCATACGTGATTGCTTCGGAGCATCGTCACTATCCAGAGTGCCATGTATTTTACCCAAAATTTTCTCTTCATCACTTAATTTCTTTTTACCTAAGGGGTTGCGAACAGCCTTGCTGTCATTGCGTGGTAAGATATTCGGCAAATCCTCATTGGGGGACAAGCGTTGCATTAACGAATGCAATTGATCGGCATAAATTCTGAAAGATGAATTTGTATGTTGAGCGATTGAAGCACTAATTCTTTTCACTTATGAAAATTTACTTACTCCCCATCCAAGTCAGTGTCCATGATTTCACCTTTCGTCTTTTCAAATTCCTTCAAAATGTCTATGTTTTCAAAGCCAGGTTTCAAAAAATCTTCCTTCAAGTCTTTATCAATCTTAATATCGTCATCTAATTTTTTTTTTGGAAAAATCATGAATTTCATTGGATTTATGTACTCCAAATTGATATTCAGCAAATACCTTCCAATTCACTCACTGCTTCCAAGATTTGTTGCATTTGACGCTCGAAGTGCTTTTGTAACTCCAAAGGATTTGTAAAGGTTTGAAAAGAGAATTTGCGATTATCATCAAAGAGTTCGTCATCTGTTTCAGCTTCTTCAAACCACTGCGGTTTACGAAATTCGTCCTTTGCAGTTCCTCTAAATAAACAGAAAACAAATTTAGATACACATACTTACACATGAGGCCTTGAGAGCCAGAGTAGCCTGACATTTCAAAAAAAAGTTGAGGTGCACCTTAAAATGCATTACTAGAATCGAAACGGTAATAGCCCGAGGCACGCCCTTTTAGATATCTTTTACTTTTACATCACGTAGATGCAATGAACCTTTTAGTAAAAACCTGCATTTATTTTTTATAGATCCTTATTTCCCATATCACTAAAAATTTTCTTTTTTGTAGATAGGCTCCTCTGGCCCTCATGGCCTCATACATATGCATGAACCAAACAGACACATAAGATAAAGAATAATTTGACACAACGGCATGATTTTTAGAAGAATTTGCATAATAAAAATGATTTTTCATGCGTTCAACAATTTCGCGGTTTTCTCCGTTCTCTTCGCTGTTTACTTCTTACAACAAAGATGGCGTCGAGATTTCGGCAGCTAGAAAATAACTTTTTTCGTTCTTTCCTTCCCGCGTGATCTTGTGTCTTTCGTTCATGATACATATGTATGTCGATATAAAGGCCCGTCCACATAGAACTTTGGCGTTGCGTTGGCGTTGGCGTCGCTTCAACAGCTGACTATGAATACATGAATTCAAATGCAGCCGTCCACATAGCCAAAATTCGACAACGCTCACGCCAACACAAAGCAAAAAGATGGCCAACTCTCAACTTTTCGCGTGCGTCGCTCGTCAGCTGTTGCGAATAAATAAAATTATGTGAAATATTTTTCCTTTTTAATCAAGTGCGGGCAAGAAATATCGTTTTTAATGCAATTATTGATATGAAATATTAATTTATCTGTCGTTAATATGTTAATTTAGTGGCCCAAGGATTCGCCGCCAAGCGTTCATTGTAGCAAGCATACTTTTAACGTGCGTTCTGTCAAACCAACGCCAACGCCAAAGCCAACGCCAAAGTTCTATGTGGACCGGCCTTAAGAGTTTTCATAATTTAATAATAGGGGTATTCTCTGAGTCTTGCAAAGCCCTTGCACGGTGCACAGATTGCACGGTAAAAACCGGTTTTCGTATGGGGCTGAAGAAAAATCATGTACCTATTAATATGTACATATTTTAGTCTGGCTACCCCGTTTTATATGGGACTTACAAGTATTATCCTAATCAGAGACTGTGCGAAATTATAGGCAATTTGAATATAGTCAACAAAAAAATTAAAATAAGTTTAAATGGTTAAATGTTTAAGAAGTAAAAATGATGATTTATATTTTCTGAGATTGCGTACATATGTTTAGATTTAATAATTTATATCTTCAGTACGTTTTAACTAAATACTGCTTTTAATGGCAACGTAAGCTCTTCCTAATAAAGTCTTGAGCAACGCAGCAGAGTGCTCAGCAAGACTTCAATACCGAGTTTTGCCGGACAAGCAAACCCATATTCGTGTGAATGAAGTCCGAGTCCAATCAGTATTGGTGTTGAAACGAATAAATATGCTGGTAACACTCAAAGGATAAATTTCAATATGCGCAGCCTCCGATTAGTGTCCTGGCCAAAGTATTTACTCAAATATATACATAATTTGCAATATATCGATCGATTTTTTTGCTTCTTTCACGAGAAACAAACACACAAGCTTCATGAATATCTATCTACTTCGAATTGCAATATTAAAAATAATCTGTTTTTGGTTTTTCGGCGTCCTCATTCATTTTGCACATTTTACGCAAGATATCCATTTTTTACGCTTTCCAAGCACCGCTGCGACAACACAATGAAATCAAATCAGAATAACCCTTCACCTGAGCAATTGGATTCCAAGTCCAAATCACGATTCCTATCAATCCTCTCAATACACTAATTCACTACCCACAATGGCGTCCAAACACCTTATCTGTTGGAAAATATTAATTTCCTGTTTTGTTTTTGCCTTGAATTGCAATATTTTATCAATTTTCCGTAGCCGCTGCAAGGAAAAGAATTTGCTCGAAATTTTCTCTCTGCTGTCACTCTTTATCTTTTTTAATCTCTGCTGCCTACCGTTCCGTTCTCCGGGTTTATCCTTTGCAGCTCTATTCGCTTTTGATTCTTGACAGTTGCGATTGTGTAATATTTTGGGAAATTATCCAGCTGATGGTGTTTGTTGTGGGAAATTATTACGTGTTTTCCCAAGCGGCCCGTCGCCAAATTTGGCACAAACGGTTAATTTTGATCTTGTAAAAAATTGTTTGTGAAAATTTCAAAATCTGTGATGCACATTTGTTAAACTAGAATTTTTAAAACTTAAGCTTAAAGTAAGCTTCCAATATTAAGTGTTAAATATGCGTCTTTAAAATTAAGTTTATTTTAATTTTTTCAAATGATAAAAAAGGAATATCTATAAATCACTTAACTTTAGCTGTAATATCATTTATTTTATATATGTATATTAATTATTTTATATATGTAATTTATTATTTTAGTAGTAGAATGTACATGTTTACGACAAAACCACGACAAAATACGTTAGTTTTATTAGTTTTTTAGTTATGAATTATTAAAATTAATATATCTCCACCTGAAATGCAAAAGGACGTAACAAACATTATTGAAATGCAAAAAGTCATAATAATAATAATAGATTGGCGCTTACACATATGTTAGTGTTTGGCCGAGCTTCTCCTCCGATTTGTGGCGTGCGCCTTGATGTTGTCATAACTAATAAAAATTTCAAAATTCACTTCTTGATTTATATGATGGACTTCATCGAATTACAACTCCCCACATCATTTTATGAAAAAAAATTAAAATATTAGTCACGACATTCCATTTCATTTACGATGTTACGTCTTTTTGAATTTCAGGTGACGATGTATATTATTGAAAAATTATTCATACGTTTAAAAAAATATTACGCTTTTTTTTTAAGTGTTTTATAAACCTTTGCTTGTTGGGTATGTATACACATACAAAGGTAGTAGGTAGTAGGTGGTAGATATGTAGTGGGTTCATGCGCCGCAAATATGTCGTCTTCCATACTATTCATGGCAACTTCCATAAGAATTGCTCTACTTTTCTGTCTTTCTTTCTCTATGCTGGCTGCTTGCTTGCTCTATAGGTTGAAGTCATACCATTTGGATCCACCGACCAAGCAGAAATGTCCATTTCGGAAGTTTGTGCGCCGTCTTGATCCTACACACTATGCGCATAATCTGTCAATTCGACAACTTCTCCTTTAGTGGGCTTATGCGCTGCAAACGGCAGTGTCCTCAACCGGTTCTCAACATTTTCATTTTGTTGACAGATAGCTTGCGTTTAATACAGCACTTCCCGCCAATCCACACCTGCAATAAATCTTTCGAAGTATTTTACATTTCATTAATTAATAATACCTTTCCTTTCTCCATGTACTTGAGTCTTTTGATGGTGAACCAAGTGCATTTAGAGTATTTGCAACCTACTGCCAAAACGCGTACACTTCCTCCTTGGGTCGCATTTGAAATCCCTGCTCAATATCGCTTTTGGTTGCCAATTATTTCAGTCAATGCAGGATCGTAAATTTCGAAGACTGATCGAAACAAAGACAAAGTTACCAAACTGAGAAAATTTCTATTCGTGTCGAAATGTATAATATGGGTGATAAAAAAAACTTCCGATTGAAAACTTTTTGACAAATAATTTGATTTACAATTATTAAAACCAAATCGTAATTTTATCCGAAGAGTTGAAACGCGTTTTCACTTCACAGAACAAGAATTCACCGCCCATGTTGGTTTTTCTTTTCGTGCTCAAATACGACACATTATAAAACTACTGATTTTTTATTTATATAAATAAATATATGCACATTATTATTGAAAACGCAGTTATTTCACATTTGTTAAATTCATTAAACGCTTAAATAACTTACATTTAGATATGTAACAATATATGTAGCTCAGGTATATGTGATTGTATTCATTATTCATGGTAAACAAACTCCATTTGATTATAATTGCAATTAGTTACATATATGTACTTGAAATATTTTATAGTTTAATTTATCCCATTTTTGGTATACTCTTCCATTATGCTTTAATATTTTTCGTACGAGCTCAACATACATATATATGTACATATCAGAGCGTACTTTTTTTATGTGAATGTTATGTACGTATAATTTGTAAAATTAAGATTAATTCTAATATATAGGGGTTTTAAACTTATTTTATGTAATGTATGTGATAACTTTACTGAAACACAGGCCTGGTTGTCAGGTATGTTTGTATCCTTTAGATAATAAACGTTTCCAAAGTTGCGTTTTGATAAACCAATGTAATTTAAATTCGCAATGTGACCATTTTTATTGGTGTCATTTCTTAGGGCCAGTTTTTCAGTGCACGGCCGTAGTTTAAACTCAGTTTAAACGCCCGATCTGGCTGGTTTAAACTAAGATCAGCCAATCAAATGTCAGCCAGCTGTTTAATTTAAACTCAGTTTACTTAATCTAAGTTTAAACTGGCACTGAAAAACTGGCCCTTATAGTATAACAGTGGATTGCAATGAAGCAACCAAATTAATGGGCGCCCTTATGCTGATTTGACTTCTCAATATTTTATTTATATCTTAGCCGACATTTTCTTTATCATGTTCACATAATGATTGGGTTTTGGCCACAGCCAATTTCCACATTTTGTTTTCATCAGCGCACTTGGTGGTGATGGCGTTACGAACCTCCTTCTCCGAAACTTGACACACCTACGTGTAACAGCAAATATAATGTCTTGTATGGCTAATGGATTAAGCATTTTCTTAAGTGGTTTATTATGATCTTTAAAAGCAGGCGACGGCTTCCCGGTCATAGAATGTGTGGCTAAGGTTTCGCGATTAAAGATGGCCATCATTAGTTTTCGTGTCGCTATTGATGCAGAAGTCCAGCTGATGGCATCAAAAATCTTCGTAGGTATACGAGTGTTGTTCGGTCCTATCGAACAGTAAGCAACTTTCGGTTCCGATTTATTCTTAGACGCAGTACTTTGGGCATCACTTCTCTGTTGTGGGTCGATGGGTAATTTTAGTAAGCTTGCGTTATTACGATTTGTGGGAAATGATAGAAGAGGCTGCGG